ATAGTTTCTAAGTTAAGAATGCACCTGTGGAAGTGTTGCAGGAAACTAGCGTGCAAAGAGTGTTTGTGTAACATTGATAAGAGCATTAGAGGCTGCCTGAAAGCTAGGTGCACTGATTGCATTACGCTTTCACTGAGAACAGCTTATACAACCTGCTTCATATTCACAGAAACAAAGTATGATAACTGAGGTAAACCACTGGACTTTATCCAAAGTGCATTACTGTTCTTGTGCTGGCTTTGGAAAAGAAGCAGGACTTCCCTAAATAGAGAAAACTTTATTTTGGAGATTGTTCAAGGCTGTGTTTGGGCTAAAATATCTGGTATCTACCTGACCAACCCTCTTCTAATCCTGGGCATTTTAACTAGCAGTTCCATTTACCTTCTCACCACTATGGATAGGATTTGCAATCTGCTAGTATGACGAGTGAAGAGAAATACAGCTATCAGATTGAAGAAAATGGTGGCTTTACTTTGACATTAATATGGATATCACTTTAAATTACTGAAAAATGTGAGTGATTGAAACAATTGTGGATCTTTGAAAGTGCCCGATGGAAGATGAAATTCTAAGTATTTAAACATAAAAAAAAAACCACAAAGCCATCATACTGATATATCCACCAAAGAAATAATGCTAAGATTCTTAACTTCCAGAAGTTCTTAGCAAGTCTAACAAAAAGGACTGAGATGAGGCAGCTTACTGGGGGCAGAAAACATTTACTCTCACGTACAGCATCCCTGTACTTCAAGCTTTGTTTGTTGACTCTGTGTAGTCTCTGTAGTACCTGAATGCTCCATGACCTTCCTGACAAAAGTGTCTTGGAGAGGCTATCTTTGACATCTTTTAGAGAAAGTAGATGCTGCTTTGGTTGGTTCAGATCTTTATGCGGTTCAGTTGGGGCTTGATACCAAAAAGAATGTTCTGAGGACACTGGTTTTCCTGGTAATTTGGACTATTGCACTAACAAGGTAGGCTACTCAGTTTCTTGCTAAGCTGTCCTTTTGGCTGGCTGTGGGAAATACAGCACTAAGACTGAGATCAAGGTAAAATCTGAGACTTCTTGCTCCAGGACTGGCTGGAAGCAGCCTAGTGTGTGCATGTTCACATTTGCCTATAAGTGGGGGGGCAATACAGAAGAAAATAATCTGATTATCAGTACTAGAGTTCTCATACAACTATGTGTACACATCAATACTCTGTCATATGTTCTAACTCTAAGTAGGTCACTAATGTTGTTATAGTGATCTCTGAAATACCATTTGCAAACCACCGACTAGTTCAGCAAATATTTTTGCAGCATATTTGTAAGACTAAACTCATGCAGTTTGTATGGTTGAGAATGTTCATTGCTTTAATTGCTAGTTCATAAAATAATACTTCCAGAACTAGGTGGGATTTAGTTTCTGTCTTGCTTACTTGCCATAACTCCATCAGGCAACTGCTAATTCCTTCATGAATAATATCTACAATTCTTCTATTTAGGAGAGTTTAAGACCATCTAATCCTACTGGAAATTAGGTGTGGGAGAACTAAGGCAACTTCCTAAACTTGTTTTATGGCAGTCCTGTTCTTAAGCAGAGTACTCAAGAAAACTAGACCAGTATCAAGTGCTTACACTGAAATTGCTTCACTAATCTATCTTCACTATCTGTCCATGAGAGGTAGAATAGGACATTCAATCCTTTTGGATCTCTGTATTTGATTACAGAAGCTTAAAAAATCATTTCCCCCCCCCTCATTGTTCAGTGAATTCTTATAATCAGGCAAATTTCCAGTGCTATGCTGCAGAAGGAAATACAAATAGAGCTATCCAGTACGTAAGTAGCATTAGCACAGCAGCATGCAGACTCTGGATCTGAAGATGATGGAACATGTACATAGGCTTCTGTTGGCTGAGAATTCTATATCACTGTGCCAGGGGGAGAGCAATGCTGTCTCAAGGGCTCACCTTTTCTGCCATATCTCAATTAAATCCTTTCAACAAGTCTACTGGAATTTTACCTGAAAGATTAACAATCAGTTCATGATCTTCCTAATTCTTGCTGCAAAATACCTGCATTCAAATGGGTAGAAACACTAGCTGCCTGGGAACTGCAGCTTCTCATCTCAGGGGATTAAGACCTATTAATAAGACCTGTTAATTCTTGTCTATACAGCTCAGAAGTTCAGAAATGTTTTTTGGTGGTTTGTTGTTGTTTTGCCTTTCACAAATGAAAAGATACAAAAAAATGAATTTTCAAGGTTTTTCTTCAGTGGTTAGATTTCAAATGTCAAGAAGAAGCGTAATAAAACTGATTAAAGCCAATCTGGGGGCTCTGAGATACCCTTCTGACTATTACTTCAATGACTCCAGTGGGAGTATGCCCAGTGGCAGCCGGTCAAAGCCCAAGCAAAACTCAATAATGCCTCTTTCACAGGGCCCATATTCAGACTTCAGTAGTATTCTTCATGCCTCAGGCACCTGTGTTGGGAATAATATGATCTAGCTATCTCTACCATGATCATTTAGCATATGCATTTGTTCTGACCAGAGGAAGACCACTAGCAGATACAGCCTTAACTTGTCCAAAATAATATAAATGAGCTGGGGATATAAAGGACATGTTGGGGACGGAAGAATACGATAATATAACTAAAGCCTATCAAGAGCTAATCATGATAAAGTTGTGTTGACTTAAGCCTTGACCTTCAACATTAACTGAACCTCTAACTCCAGTGTAGACATGTCTCCTACACGTAGAATAACTACTTATAACTACATACTTCGTACGTTAAGGTGGTTTCTCCAACATAGCTTTCTAAGCGATGGTGCTATAGCCCTTGCTGTTTTGTGTGAGAAGGTAAGAGACCAGTCCAAGTTTCTATTTATTGTAGCTGGAACTGGCAGTGTATAACTGACTACGTGAGCACAGTGTATGCAAGTGGTTCTTGCCTTCAAGGACCAAGCTCCCAGCACTTAGAGATCTTATGCATTAACTACCTTACTCATACACTCTGTAGCACTTAATATTCTGTTATACAGTAATAGTAGTTAATAGCTGCTTTTTACAAAGCAGGAGTCTTCTCCAAACAAAAGACATCTTGAATGTACAGCTGGAGAATAGAATCAGAGTCACGTCTTTAACAGAAGCTGATAACCTGTGTAATTGCGGTGAATGGTGTAGAACCATGGTGTAATGGTAACATGAATTTTAGGTGGAGCTGTGTGGGCAGTGTTAACAAGCTCTGAATCAAACAGAAGACATGTGTGGGCCTGTCTGCTGCATCTGCACCATAAACACTTCTGGTGTGTTTCAGATCAGTCCTGGAGAGGTGTGTAACAACCCTGGAGCATCTTCCAGTAAGTCGTCAGTGAAGAAATTCAGACCGGTGCAATCGGAACATAAGAGAACAGTGTGTCAGTAACACCTCACTTGTGAAGAGTGCTTGTCTTGCAGAATAGAGGAATGCACTCATGTGAGGCCTCTCTTCCCTCTTTACCTACCCAGGCTGGGTAAAAATAGAAGAGCAGATACAGCAGAACTGTATCTAAGTAATAGATAGATAGATCTAATAGGGACATTTGCTAGTCTACACTGAAAGCTTATACTGCAGTGTCATTATACTGAGCAAACTTGCTTATGCCTTGACTGTAATCTTCAGTCTGGCAAAAAGCTTTCCCTCCTGTTGAGCTGAATCTGCTCAGTTCCCCTTCTTAATCTCTCTCTGATTCTAATCGAAGTTGGTATATAAAAACTTTACTTTAGGGGCTGTAACAAAGATGTAACTTAAAGGAAACTGAAACAGGGGGCACTTTATCATCTGTTTTATTAGTAGAACTTGTCAGCTGGCAGAAAAGGTGATAGCAAAAGCAGACAGATTTTCAGAGAGGAAGATTACAACACTGTGAACTACCCCCCTTGCTTTTAAGATGAGGCAGAGGGAAGGGAGCAGTGCTTCTCTTAGAAAACAAAGTGTTTTGCAAACAACTTTTCAAGAACAAGCCCCCCGTGGAGATGAAGCAGCTCTCTGCAGTCACAACACTGAAGGCCTGCAGCGTAAGTTTCCATAGGATCTCAAATGGTGGAGCAGACAGACAGCAGACTCCCTCGGCAGTCTGCATGAGGAAAACATACTGCCTGCACAGCACGCTTACTAAGCTGTCTAAAGAAGTCTTCTCAGATGAAGTCCAAAGCAAGCAAAGAAGTACGGGCCCCACTTTCTTTTCCGTGCAGCAAGCGGCTGGATACCATGACAAATTCACATTTGTGATGCACGGCACAGATGGTAATGATGCCATGGTGCTGGGCACCGATGCAGATAATGGCATCCCATCAGGGATGGTGACGGACGGGCTCCACGCAGCATCTCCAGTGCCCAGGATGCGCAGCGGGTTGCTGGGATCGTGTGGTGCGGGTGGAAGGCAGTGCGCCCATGTGCCAGCCACGTGCGGCTGCGTAGGGCAGCACGGCAGACGACGTCCCCACGAAGCGGGCCTCGGGATGGGCTTCTATGGAGCTGAAGCGTTGTCCTGACAGACCTCCTCGTCGCGAGGCAGAGCGGGAAGCGCGTTTCCCTGAGATGGAAACCTGACGGATGCTCTCGCCGTGAAGCGGCGGGCAGAAGTCAGCGCTCACCGAGGCAGCCGCCCTCGGCGCCCGGGGAGCAGCGCCGAGAGGGCTCGCTGGCGGGGCCGGCGGCAACCGCAGCGCGACGAGGCTTCGTCTGAGGTTCGCTGCAAAACCCCATCGGAGCGCGCGGCGGCGAGGCTCGCCGTCCCCGGGCCCCGCCGCCAGGGGCGCGCTGCCCCCCCGCTCCCTGGGGCAGAGCCGGGCAGCGCCTCGCGGCCGCAGGAGCGGGCTCGTTGCCCGGGGCGGGGCCTGCGATGCAAACGAGGGGGCGCGGACACCGGAGTTGTGTGGCGGTCGGGGAGGAGGAAGCGAGCGCGGCTCCGCGCGGCTCCTCGGGGAACCGGGCGGCCGGGACAGACGGCGGGCGGCGGCGGCGGGGCCGGACCGGGCGGAGCGGGGGCGGCCGGGAAGAGCGGGAGGCGGGGACTCGGCGGCGGGGAGCGGGACGGGGCGCGGCGGCCGCGTTCATCCCGGAGCGGCGGGCGGCAGAGCGGGAACATGGCGAGCGTCGGAAACGGCACGGAGGAGAGCGGCGGCGGGGAGGAGGTAACGGCGGGCAGCGCTCGGGCCCTGGCGGCGCGTCGGCGGGGGCAGCGCAGGCCAGGCCTGCCCGCCCGCACCCCGCTCGCCCCGCGCCGCGGCCGCCGCGTCCCGCAGCCGGCCCGGCCCGGCCGCCGTCGGGGAGAGGGCGAGCCGGGAGTTGAGGAAAGTTGCGGCGCGGGCGGCCCCTCGCTCTCCCGCGCAGCGAGCGGCCGCCGCCCCGCGTGCCGTGCCCTCCCTTCCCTTCCCTTTTTTTTCTTTTTTCCCCCCCCTTCCCGTTTTAACTCAGCTCCGAGTCAGCGCCCGGCTCCGCGCGACATCGCCTGCCCGGCGGCGGCGAGAGGCGGGCGGGCCGGCAGGTGCCCGGGCTCCGCCGCCGGGAGCGGCCGTCCCGGAAGATGCGGTGCGTGCCCTGTAGGCCCCGCGTGGGTGGGGGCGGTCAGGGGAGCCACGCGGGACAGCGCGGCGCAGGTGTGGGCTGCAGCCCGCTGCGCCTGGCAGGCGCCCTTCTGCTGTCGCCCAGCGCAAGGTACAAGCGGAACGCCTCGCGGCTTAACGGCTGCCCGAACGTTTCCTTTTGGGTGCCCTCTCAGCCGGACGGATGCAGTGGCTGCGTTGTGCAGCTGTCAGCGGTGTGGCTGCGTGTCACCCGGCGAGTGCGGGCTGCTCCTGAAGGAGCGGCTCCCAGGGGGAAGGAGGGCGCGCGTTGCGGTGCTGCCCCGGCTTCTGGCTGCGTGCGCTTAAAGCACTGCTTTACGTGTTGCTTGTGCTCAACAACTCTTTCAAAAAGGGTTTGTGAGGCACAGCTCCTGCCGAACTTAGCTGTAGAAAATTTATGAATCGCATAACAGATTTTATGCCGTCTTTTTCTTTTTTTTTTTTTTTTCCTTTCTGTTTTTAAAGGCCATGCTAGGGTGAATTTCTAAATTGGACACGTGCCAGTGTCCCGTTGCTGAGGTAGGGCATGCACCTGTATAACAGAGCATCTGAGAAGTGCGTGAAGGTGTAGGACTGCGTTGCTGTATAGTTCTGTACGATGCTGGTGTTATGTGTTTGGCAGCTGTGGAGTTGTTCTTGGATGAGACAGTAGAAAACCAGCTTCTTCCTTTCCTCAGTCAGAAGGTGTGGATACGCCAGCGCCAGCACCTCAGGGCATGCTGTGAAAGTTGGTACTCCTTAAGTCTATAGTGTGGAGGCATAATGCAGAATGCCTTTATCTCATTGTGTGTTGGAGTGAATCATTGCAAAATCGTAGGGCGCTGAGTACAGGCTGTGATTTCTGCAAGGCTAAGGTTCCTTTCCAGTATAAGGAGTGAGTAAGTACCAGTGGGAACAAGTTATTAATCAACTGCTGCTGCTATCAGTAAGCAAGTTGTTGGAATTCACAGTTGGTAGAACAGATAGCTAGCTATTTAGCTCTAGCCCAACTGTCCTGCATAAACACTGTGTATTGTTTGAATATTGTTCAACAAGTTTGCTGCCAAGTATCAGTACTCTTTCTCTTAGAGGAAAAAAGGACATCCTTACCAAAGCAATTTAAAAACATAAAAGCACCTAGAAAAGGCTTTATTTAAGGAATAGTATGCAGAAAGCACACAAACTTTTTCCAGATGAGCTCTGAAGAGCTCACGTTCTCTGTAGAGACTTGTGCGTGATCTGCTGGTGTCTGAGAGAGTTGTGAATGGACCAGAATAGGTAATGGAGTGAGCACTTGAAGGTTTTCCTGGTAGAATCTGAAAGTTCAAAGAGGAAGGGCAGGTGCTGGCTTTATTGTGGAGATAGTCATTTCTTCTGTAACAAAACTTGTCCATACCACTGGCATCTTATGTGTACTGGTTCACCAGCCTTTACTGTTAAGCTTGATGTTCTGCAGTTCAGATATGAGCTAGTTGTTTTTATGCGCCTTTGTGGTGTTTTTTTTTTTTTAATTAGGTGTTTAAATTTGTGTTTTAATGGGGAATGTTAGCGCTAGTTATGTTCTTGAAAGCAGTGTGCTTCTAAGTAATGTTTACATACAACATGAAAGATATGAGTTGTTTATTTTTTAACTTAGTGCCATATGCATATGGATCTTAAATAGGATTTTTCCTCTGTGCAGGAACTTGGAAATACTTGTTCATCCCTGAAGCTTTGAAAAAAGATGTGCTTGAAGTTGTTTCTTGCCTACAGGGAACCTAACTAGGTCTCAACTAAGAAGACTGCTCTAAAGTCCAGACTTATAGTGCAATTTAGCTATTTGCTACTGCAGTCCACGATGATATGAACTGTGGTTTTCCTTATGCTTCCTTGTAGCTCAAGGAAGTGCCAGACTCATATTTATATTCAGTTCTTTTTGCTGATTTATGCCTCGTCCTTCAGCTCTGGCTTTCCACTGTGCATTAGAAGGAAGTACTATGAAGCGTATGCCTTTGTTTAATTCCCCAGACTATGCAAGCCTAGTAGTTTGGGTGTTGGTTGCCAACTGGAAGACATAAGCCCAAGAGGCTGTATGAATGTGATAGCATTGTGAGTATGCTCATCTGGTGAAAACAAATGGTTGTCAGACTCAGGATTTTCCTATGTGATGATTTCAGGGTGCTAAAGTGTGTGTAATGTTCTTCTACCAAGATTTATTTTCCTGGCTGCTGTGTTACCACGGTGAAAGTGTCCACCGATGTTGTGTCTAGTTGTGAACCCAGAACATATGTTGTATGCACTTCAAGAGCTATTACCATTGAATTCCTGTTCTAAAAGTATTAGTATTGGTATTCTTCCGGAACAGGTTGCAAATCTAGGACAGATATGCTTAGGGGCAAAATAATATTCCTGGCCACAGCGGTCTTCAAGCAAAACTTTAAGCCTTCCCCTTCTCCCCCCCTCTACTGTCTAAAGATTACTTAAAATAGTGGGCCAGATCTGCTTCCCATTAAGTTCACTCTGTGCTGCCCTGGTTTTTCAAAGTCTTAAAGCCAGCTTAATTGGTTACTTGGGGATTCCCTATCCATTAAGAAAAAACAAACCAACAAACCTATCCTTGGCCTTTGTGCCTGTGAGGGTTGTGGCCAGACAAAAAGGATCATACTCAAGAGGTATCTGTGTGCTACGGGAAAGTCGTTTGGCCCCAGCCAGCTAGGCTAAGGATTATGGAGGGATCTGAAAGTGATTGTGCCCTTGCTGTGGTTAACTCTAAGGCCTGTATTAGGGACAGGTTGATCAATTCAGCTAATAAGTGCCTAACCTCAGCACTAGCCTAACCTGTTAGAGAAAATTTGTGTAATGAAGATCTGATGATGCATGCTGTACTCTCTTGAATTGCTCAAGCTGGAGCAATGCTATGCAGGCTGGCTTTACAAGCCTGGGCAGTTTATCTTCTGAACTCAGTTCAGCATGAAACAAGTGTCTTCAGAACTGGCATTCTTTAATCTAGGAGGTGTTCAGTATTCCTTAATACTCTGTTTAAGTACTCAGAGCTTTTTATTCACAGCTGCTGCAACTATGGCACTTGTAATCAAACTTGTAGAGTCCTTGTTTTCACCAGTAACCTAATATAGTAATGTGCTTCATCTTAAAGAATCCTGCAGTGCTGTGCATTCTCTTGCTGATATTTACTCTGAGAACTTTTTGCTGCTTTGGTTGGTAATTCTAACCTGGAAAAAGAATGCCAAGAGGGAGAAATGAGTGTAGCTGCCCTCCTCCTCTTCCTCCCAGGGACTCTGGGGAGCTGGAGCAAGCTGATGTGGCACTTTTTCTTCTCTTGAAATGGAAAGTTTTGTCAGATGGGGCTAAGAAGATGTAGTGAGGGCATTTCCTTTCCTGAAGGATGGTTTCTGTCAAAGAGATGAACCATACAAATAGGTTAAGCTTAAAAAGTAGATTTTGCTGATTTGAAGACTTGCAGTGTGGACTTCTTTTTTCAGCATAGTCTAAGGTTTGTCATTTGGCGTGTGCTCAGCTGTTTCTCCTGTTCCTCTTTTGGCCTCTCCTACTTCCGTAGCACATCACCATCTGAGCTGAGGGGCACGCTTTTTTTTCTAGCAGCGCAGATAAGAAAAGAACCAAGGGAAAGCCAAGCAAGTGTAATAGTTTCTTCTTTAATAAATAAAATTAGGCTTCTCTTTCCAAAGATTCTTTAGTTTAAATAAAATATGCCATGACCTTGAGAGGAGGCTATTTTACCTGTGGATGTACTTGTCAAGAGACATTATTTTTTTCTTGTAATAATTTAATAGTTTAATAGTACACTCAAAATGCGTACTTCAATTTTCAGTCACCTACTACTGGTACTGTTCTGAGATGGCAAATAATTTTTGTTTATATTTTTCTGTGTTCTTATTGGCTTCCTGAAGCTTGCCTTGCTCTTTGAGCCCCTTTAACTGTGAACAAACCTGAAGTGTGACTTAAGTCTTCGTTAGTTTCCTGGAGCGACAGAGGAAGCACATATAATGTGTTCCAGTTAAATGTTCTGACTTAATACTCACTTTGATTGGTTCTTTTTTTCAGAGAGAGGCATATGAGAAAAAGTGTGGTTATAGTGGTTAATGGTTTACATCAGTAAAGCCTGGTTTATAGCTCACTGCATGTGTGCACACTGCTTCTACAAGTAATAAGGTCTGCTGGGGGAGCAGACATGGCTTAGTGTGGGGTTTCAAAATAACTACGTTACTCAGTAAGCTGGAGATCTCTTCAGTGGCAACACTGGGGAAAATATTACAGGCTACCATGAGGGAAGCTCAGGATGCCTCTTACAGAGGCAAAGCTGAACTTTTGTGGAAGATAGGTACCTGTGAGACTGTTTTCAATCTGTTACAATTTGCCTCTACTTTGGTCTGATTTTTTTTTTTTTTTATAGGGAAATACTTGCCATATCTATAGAGATGGAAAAAAAAGCTGAACAAAAAGTGATAGTTATTTCTGAGCACTTGCTTTTTTTTTTTTTTTGTATATTGAACTATTACTATATCACTGTGGAAAATGGCATCTGAGATTTATTTTTTTTTTCAAGGAAGCATTTACTTTACTTTGAGCAA